ATTATTACGTAAAATATGAATTGAAAAGAAAGATGATTGATTGATTGTCCTATTTTCTGCCAGTTATATCAGTAGTTCTCAGATTACTCAAATATGAATAATCAATAATTCTTTGTAGACAACTTCTTCTTTTTAGTCTGTATTAACAAAAAAATCTTGTGAACAGTGTTTTATCTTCGAGGAGGGGGAGGGAAGCGCAGTCTTCGGGAATGCAAAAATGTCCCGTGCCCCACCCTGCTAGATAAAATACTACTAGTGGATATATAGAAATTTTAGATATCGACTTCAATTTTATATAGAATACGAAGTGCCAAAAATATTCTTGGTGAAGAAATGAAGAATATTGAATAATAAAATTTTTAATTTCAAATATATCCATGTCTCGTCTTATTTATAGTGTGCGTTCAACTAAAAACTCTTGGTTATATCCAGTATTTAATAGGACTTTAAAACTACATATTGCTAATGCTCTTCATCGAACAAGTAATTCTGAATACATAAGCACATATATCTTTACTGAGATAATTACTATTACCATTGTTATTTTCATAATGGAATGATATTAAAACTATACTTTCTCTAGAATAGTTTTGTATTCATTGTTAAGTCATATGCATAGTATTTTTCCTTCACTTATATATTTCTTGTTATCGATACTTATAAACCGTATTTATCAAGATGAAATATAGAAATACATAATTGAGTATCATATTTCTATATATATATCATAACTAAAGACGACTATAAATTTTTCTCTTATCATTCACGTTAGGATAACATATATATTGATCATAAACGCTTCAATTACAGAATGTATTCTACAATTGTATCATAGAATAAATTTTAATTCATGATTTAATAAAGCGATTAATGTTTTATACTCAGAAAAAAAATAAACTGCTATCATTTCTGTAATATATGTGTTAACGAATAGAAATATTAACATAAATGTATACTTTCTGATACTCCAGTTTTTTAATTAAAATTAAATTATCTAGTCTGTTGTTGATAAAAACATTTTAATACAATAGTACTGTTAGCCTTCTTCAAAGGCAACATAATAATTTCTAATTATATTAACTGTTGGATCTTTTAAATGTATTGTAAACCAGTCATTACAGATGTTCTATGTGAATTAAAATCTTGGAAATCAAAAAAAAAGCGTAACTAATAATACTTGACGTCAGTAAAAATTTTAATTAGAACAGTCAATTGTACATCTGAGCATCCGACGTATATAAAAAGACTGTTTGATGTCAGAGTGAAGTTTCAACTATATTTAATTATAGCTATTTTCAAACATATAGACAGAGAAATAAGGCAGTGTATATTATTATCTCATGCTAATATTATTTATATTCATTTTCTCTCAATAATGTCAACTATAGAGAATACATCTTCTAATGATATATCATTGTATGATGATGATACACGACAATTTTATTTGATTCAGTTTTGGGTATTTCTTCTTTTGATTATTCCATCGATTAGTGCGTCATTATTTGCTTTATATCATTTTCTTTATGATAAAAACCTTCGAAAACCATTTCATAATTAATTCATAATTATTCTTCTTATAATTAATCTATTTTATGAATGTACAGACATATGTATATCTTTTCATTATTTTCGTTGTTTTGAATCTTTTTCATCAACACTTAGCTTTCGTCTTTTTTGGGGATATATTGATTGGGGAGTTTATGCTCTTGAACTTATACTATATGCTTGGACTACAATTGAAAGACATATTCTCATTTTTCATGATCAATTAATAACTACAAGAAATAAACGTTTTTTTATACATTATTTTCCACCAATTATAATATTTATTTATTGTTTATTGTATTATACAATAATATTTTTTGCTTCACAATGTAAGGATAGTATCGATGATATAACTGGACCAAGTTTATTTCATTGTGCTTATGAAAATAATACACTTTACATGTATGAGATAATAGTTAATGCAATATTACCTACTTTCATTGTCGTTGGTTCGAGTATAGTTCTGTTATTACGTGTTGTATGGCAAAAATACCATGCTCATCGACAGACACATTGGCGACAATATCGAAAAATGACATTTCAAGTATTAATCATTTCATGTCTCTATCTGGTTTTACCATTTCCTTCTATGTTTATTATATTTCTTCAGCTATGTGGTATATCCAATGACGTTGGAGCTGAATTTTTATCACGTATGACGTATGCTTCTTATTATACTTTACTTCTTTTTCCAATATTTTCTATTGGATCATTACCAGAGCTGAGAAAAAAATTCATCAAAATGATTCCATTTCGACGACCACTACATACTATTCATCCGAGAAATGTTCCTACCGCACTCAAAATAAACAATCGTGCATCTATTCAATGAGAACTACTCTGATTAATCTTTGTTCACATCACTCGAATTGTAAACTCCTTAATGAAACGTGTTACTTTGTCTGAAACATTTCTTTTGTTATCATTATTCAAATATACACAAATTTGATACGAAACGCTCGTAAAGAATTAGACATGTAAATATATCTGAGAAGATCATTTATGCACATGCATAGGTCTGTGTATTATCTTATCAGTCGACTTTGTTCATTGTTTTTATTATTCATATAGTTATTCTCTGTACTCGCGCATGCGTCACTACAAACTAAAACTCATTCAAAAACAAATCAAAAAAATATTTTTTTATTTATTTAGCAATTATTCTTTATAATTTCTTTTTTAAAACTTCAATACTCTCTTTCACACTTTCAATACTTGGATGTGTTGGAGGTAATACACGTTGGAATATGTTCAGAGCACATTCAAAATATAATAGTGCTTTCGAATAGTTATTCATATTGTAATACACCAAACCGATATTGTTGTATGAACGAGCCAAATCAGGATGATTTGACGAAAGAGTTTCTGTTCCAATTTCAAGTGCTTGTTCGTGAGATGAAAGTGCTTTCGAGTACTCTCCCATCTTATAATACACACTACCGATGTTGCTATATGTCGCAGCCAATAAACGGCGATTTGAGGGAAGAGTTTTATGTCGAATTTCAAGTGCTTTTTCATGAGATGAAAGTGCTTTCGAGTATTCTCCCATGTTGTCATATACCAAACCAATGTTGTTGTATGAAGTAGCCAATGAAGGATGATTAGAAGGAAGAGTTTCATGTCGGATATCAAGTGCCTTTTCGCAATACAAAAGTGCTTTCGAATATTCTTCTATTTTGTTATACACCAAACCGATTTTGCTGTATGAAGTAGCAAATAAATGGTGATTTGAAGGAAGAGTTATATGCCGGATATTAAGTGCTTTTACGTGAGATGAAAGTGCTTTCGAGTGCTCTCCCATCTTATAGTACACACTACCGATGTTACTGTATGAAGTAGCTAATAAAGGATAATTTGAAGGAAGTGTATTTTGATAAATTTCAAGTGCTTTTTCGCAGAATGAAAGTGCTTTTGAGTACTCTCCCACCATATAATACATCAAACCGATGTTGTTGTATGAATTAGTCAAATCAGGATGATTTGAAGGAAGAGTTTTCTGAAAGATTTCAAATGCTTTTTCGCAAAATAAAAGTGCGTTCGAGTACTCTCTCTTGTTTTCATATACACTACCGATGTTGTTATATGAAATAGCGAAATCAGGATGATTTATAGGAAGAGTTTTTTGCTGAATTTCAAGAGCTTTTTCATAATATGAAAGTGCTTTCAAGTACTCTCC